TATTTATGTTGAGAGAGGGAGAGGGTGCGTGCACAAGCAGGAGAGGAACAGAGAGAGGGAGAGAGAGAATCCTAAGCAGGCTCCAGGATGTCAGCACGGAACCTGATGTGGGGCTCGATCTCACAAATCGTGAGATCGTGACCGGAGTCAAAATCAAGAGTCAAGATGCTTAACTGGCTGAGCTGCCCAGGCACCACTATTTATTTATTTTTAAGTTTATTTGTTTATTTTGAGAGAGACAGAGACCGTGCGAGTGGGGGAGGGGCAGAGAGAGGGGGAGCAGAGAATCCCAACCCCAAGAATCTGACCTGGGGCCCAAACTGGGCTCAAACCTACAACCCCGAGATCAAGATTCACATGCTCCCTCAACTGAGCCAGCCAGGTACCCCAAAATTTAATTTTTAATAATGGCTGTGTTTAACAGCCAGTTGGAAAAACGGATGACTTATATCATTCTGCTCCTGTGAACAGGTACCAGCACCCTGCTGGTGATCACAGGGCTCAAGGACATTCCAAACCATCCAGCTCAACTCATTTACCATCTGTGGCCCATGGAAGGCAGATGGCGGGCCTGGGTTAAGGTGTAGAACCCAGATCTCCACGCTGGGGATGGGGTGGGAGTGACCCTCACATCCTCAATCAGGCCAGAGAGGGTAAAAATGGGTCCAAAACGAGTCCAAGAATGGGTCCAGCCTTCTGGAAACACAGCTTGGTGGAATCTCTCAAAACTGTAATTTGTGTAACAGCTCAGCCTTCAGCTCTATGGAGCTGTTTGCCCAACTCCATAAAGATTTGTCCAACTCCAAAATAAACCGTATGGTCCACAGGTACCTGGAACAAAAACCCAACTGGAAACCACCCAAATGTCCATCAGCTTGGGTCCTATCCAATGAATTTTTTTTTGTTTTTTGTTTTTTCTATCAAATGAATTATTATGCAGTGCAATACCATGCAGCCAAAACCAAGAAAAAGCTAAATCTATACACTGTTGTGGACAGATGTCTGGGACGCAGCATTAGATGTTCAAATGGCCATGACTCCATCTCTGTAAGAATAAAACAGTAATAGGGGCGCCTGGCTGGCTCAGTCGGTGGAACGTGCGACTCTTGATTTCAGGGTTGTGAGTGTAGAGATGACTTAAAGATAAAATCTTAAAAAAAAAAAAAAAGAAGAAAACAGTAATAACGCACAGTATGCATGGATAAAATTCCAACATCCCTGCTCTCCAGCACAAGGTTTCTCTAGGCAATTAATTGTCTTACAGACAAGAGTTGGATGCTTGGGGCACCTGGGTGGCTCAGTTGGTTAAGCGTCCGGACTCTTGAGTTCGGCTCAGCTCATGATCTCACAGTTCATGAGATCGAGCCCCGTGTCAGGCTTTGTGCTGACGGTGCAGCGCCTGCTTGGGATTCTCTCTCTCCCCCTCTCTCTCTCTGCCCCTCTCCCACTCATGCTCTCTCTCTCTGTCTCAAAAATAAGTAAACATTAAAAAAAAAAAAAAAATTGGATGCTTAACTGACTGAGCTCCCCAGGTGCCCCATCATGTAGGTTTTTAAAGAGCAATTTAGTTATATATTCACTTCGGGCTCCTCCTTAAAGAAAATAGATAACGGGAAAAAAATCACTTCCCGAGTTCTTTTATTAATGTAGGCGTTGTTAACATGCTGGTGGGTTGCTTACTAGTTTTTGTCTAGCTTGTTAAGGTAATTTTCATGCAAACGAATCAACATGTGGGAGTCTTGGTTACCCTTCTTATGCCCCAGAAGGTTTCTATGTTGTCATGTAGACTCCATAACCACCCCATCGTGTTTCCAGAATGTTCTTCCCCTTAAATGTGCCATCCCGTCGTTTGGTGAATCTCATTGCTGAATATTTAGGTGGTTTCCCCTTGGAGGCTGGTTATAAATACCACCGCCGCGCACGTTTTTGGTACATGCACCTCATCCTGTATTTTGGAGTATTTCACTTGGATAGAGTCCCAGAGGCGAGGATGCTGGGATTCGAGGCCCATGTTGGGTGGCTGGGATCAAAGAGTGTTTCCGAAGTGTGGACAAGCCTACACTGAGGGTTGGGACAGAGATGGGACTTGGAGCCCTGTGCTGCCTACCACCTGTGCGGGGATCTGGGGTTCTCTGGAGAGGGGGCTAGTGACGCAGGACAGAGACCACAAATATCCATCCCTTAGAGCCTGCACTCCAGCGCACTTTCCCATTTGCCGGGAGGCAAAAGAGGAGATGTGTGAGCCAGGTGTCAGAGGACGAGACCCTGGGGACATGACCGTGGAGATTCTCTGTCATCTCAGCCAGACAGACAGTGACACTAAGATCCAGCTCTGGCCCCAGCTTTGGGACATCAGCCCCGGAGCCTGAAGAGGACCATCATCTGGGGTGGAGCTGACTTGATCCCTGGGACAGGGATAGGGGTGAAGGGACAAATGTGACTGCTGACATTGACTCAACGCTCACTCTGTGCCAGACGCTGAACCATGCCTGATCTGTCCCATCAGACTCAAACTTCACAAAAGCCCAAAGAAGCAGACACTCCTGTCGCCCCCATTTGACAGCGGACGAGACTGGGGAACAGGCAGGCGGAGAGATCTGCTCATGCGGACCGCCCAGAAATGAGCAGCTGGAGCTTGAGCCTTGGGTCTAACCACTGTGCGATACTGCCTGAGAGGAGGGGAGATTTGGTTCCCTTCCTGGCCTTACACTGACCCATCCAGCGAGAGTGTAACTGGATCGGTCCCGTCACAAAAGGGCTCTGAGAGTTGAACAGAAGTCGACCAAGAGGTCAAGTAAGGGAAGACCCTTGGTCTGGGAAAGAGCGCGGCTGATGCAGGGAATGAGGTGTATTTGGAGGAAAAGCTCACGACTCCCCAGTGGGCATAAATAATCATGAGAGCAGTTGCCCGGTCTTGAGCAACCCCGCGCATCAGGAGCCCGCTTAGCGGGCAGGCGTCCTCTGACCAACTTTCTCAGCAAGTGGATGAGGAGGGTGTCGTGCTTACCGTCATCCCCATTGTGAAGATAGTAACACTGAGGCACGGAAAGGAAGCTGGGAGCTGGCAGAATCGGGACCTGAACGTTGGCACGTATCCCATCCCTGCCCTTGTCAATTCCGTGATAGGTTGTGGAGTGTGGACTTGACCCTGAGGGCGTTGAGCCACGGGAGAGACTGGAGAAGGGAGAAGGGAGCGTTGGGGCGTCACTGGGGGGTGGCTGGGCTGGAAGCTGGGGAATCTGTGAGGCTGTAATTGGACCCTGAAAGGAGCAAAGGGTGGATGGGTGACTGAGGAAGAGGAAAAGCCTGTCAATAAGGCTCTGCCCCAGTATTATGAAATAATCACAGCTAGTGTGTTCAGAGTGCTTACGGGGCACCAGGCTCTTCACACGGCTGGGAAGTGGGTGCTGAGCGCGCGAGCCGGATCGCCCGGGGTACAAATACAGGGCTCTGACACTTAATAGCTGGGCCACCTCGGGCAAACTCTTGCACCTTGCGGATCTCATCTCGCCATGCGGCCTGTGGTTACAATAACGGTACCCACCTGTAGGCCCGCTGCAAGGATCCAACGAATGAACTCCTGGGCAGCCTCGAAATGGTTCCTGGCTCTCAGTAAGCACGGTGAAAGCTGTTTTGCAACCGGGGAAACCGAGGCTCAGAGAAGTTAGGCCTTCGCTCAAGGTGACCATCTTTTTTAAGGGGTAGAGCTGGGGTCTGACCCAGGCTGTCTGACTCTGGAGTTGCTTTTCTCGACCATTATTATTCTCTGTGGCCTTTCAAGGTGCCGGGGTGGCCATCTGGAAAGCGCCGAGGTGGCTCTATGCTCATGGGTGGGGCGGAGGAGGAAGGGGACAGAGGTGGGAAAGTGGCTCCTGGGTCTCTCGCTCAGGCCGGGTCACCCAGGCCCCTGGTGGCGCCTCCTCCGAGCCGGGTCCCGGGAGGCCCTGGCGTTTCCCTTGGTGCCAGGGGATTGTTTTCAGCTCTGTCTGGGCCCGCCTCCGGCTCCGGGAGACAGGCCCGGGCGTCATACTCCCGCCTGTCTCCCCATTCTCGTCTGCGGGGTGGGGGAGCCAGGATTCGAAAAGGCCCCAAAATAAATGGACCTCTTATCTGATCTCCCAGCCTGGCCCGTTATCTGATCATTACATAATGGCCAGGCCTGTGGCCTCTCCCGCTGACGGCATGGAGGAGGTGGCCCCGGGTGGCCCGGCAATCCAGGAGGAACTGGGGTTCCTGGAAGTCTGGGGAGGGGGCAGGGAAAGTCCCAAGGAAAGGAGGAAGGCACCGCGTTAATCTGCAGGCCAGACCCCAGGTCACTGTGGGGAGAGGTGGGTCCAAGGCCCAGCCTGGTTAGCCATGTGCCGTGTGATCTGCTCACGTCCTGCCTCTCCGGGCCTCAGTCTTCCCATCTGTATAGGAAGGGTTTGGACCAAGTCTGTGTTTGCTGATAGGCAGTGGGAGAGAGAGCACTGAGGGGCACTGAGGGGCCTAGTGGGCCACCAGGGGGTGGGACAGCAGGAGGTGGGGTCAGCCCTCCCATCTGCTGGGGAGAGGGGGTCTGCTGGCCTGAGGCACCAGTGACCTCCCTGTCAGAGGTCCCTCACCTGCAGACTGCCCTTTCCACCTCACCCCAACCTCCTCATGCAGTTCGTTCTTCTCCAGTGACGGAAGTCACTCAAATAACTGTAACCAAAAGAAATGCCACATGCCCTGTCTCATAACCTCTACGGGTTATGTGGGTTCTAATTATCGTTCCACAGACGAGGAAAATGAGGTCCAAAGCGGTGAAATCGTTACCAAAGCCACATAGCCAGTAAGCCCGGGCCGGAGATTCAAACCCAGGTCGGGCCTGGCTCCAGGGACCTTGCCTTCAATCAAAATGTCATATGACGCTTGCATTCTGATTCTTGCACACAAGACGGGGCAAGGATGTATAAGGTTGGGCCCCCATAGCAGCCAAACGTCCTCGTCCTGAACTTCTCCTTCTCAACGTGCTGCCGGTGGATGGTGTTGCCGTGACCAGGGACGGCCATCTTGAGTCCTTCTCTTCCCCCTGGGGGTCCTGAGCCCAGCAAGGCTGGCTTAGACAAAGACGGTCCAATAGCCTGGGATTCGGAAGAAGCCTCCCTCGCCCCCCTCCTCTGAGCTGGCGACGGCTGGACGTGCGGCCAGTCCCTCCGCGCCCATCTTTGATCTCCAAGAAAACAGGAAATGAGCGCGACAAGATGGAGACACAAACTTCCAAACAGTCTCCCCTTCTCTGTCCTCCTTCCCTCCTCCGGAGCCCCCCCTTCCCCGGCACATTCCTTAGGACGAGGTGTAGGGGCCTCATTTCCTCTTCCTCCTCTGCTGGGTCAGGGTGAAATTCCATTCCCTTCCCTCAGGACCTGCGTTTCCGGGCGGCCCAGCGGCAGGCTCTGCGGCCCAGGCCTACTTCCCAGGGCCGCCCTCTGAACCTGGGCCGCCCTTCTGGCTGCCTCTGTCCCTCAGGGCCAGGAGACTCTCAACCCTCCTTGCCTCGTTCCTCCCAGCCTCCTTGAGGCACGGGAGGGAAGGTTTTCCTCTCCTGATCTCGGGCCTCGTCTCCCTTTGGAGCGAGCCAGCCTGGAGGCTTGCGTGCGTGCATGCGTGAGCCCTTCCGCGTTGCAAGGGTCGCCTGATGTAGCAAATGAACATATAGGAGGCTCAGTGAAATTTGAATTTCAGGTAAACAATGAAAAAAATTTGAGTGTAAATATGTCCCAGGGTGCCTCGGGTGGCTCAGTCGGTTAAGCGTCCAAGTCTTGATTTCGGCTCAGGTCATGATCTCATGGTTCGTGAGTTCAAGCCCTGTATCGGGCTCTGTGCTGACAGCGCAGAGCCTGCTTGGGATTATGTCTCCCTCTCTCTCTGACCCTCCCCTACTCACTCTCTGTCTCGAAAATAGATAAATAAACATGAAAAAAAATAATATATGTCCCATTTTATTATATTTAGGATATGCTTACACTTCTAAAAATTAATCATTTTTTAGTCAACTTTAACTGGGCATCCTGCATTTTCTCCGTCAACCCAACCCCTAGTAGCACTGTGAGCTCAGGCAAGAGACTTTTCCTTTCTGAGCCTTAGTTTCTCCATCTGTGGAATGGATATAATGATATCCACCTCGTAGGGTAGCTGCGAGAAGGTAATAAAGCCCTCAGCTGGTGCCAAGCACCCAGTAGGCATTCAGAGAGTGGGAACATTGTCACCACCTTATTCTTATCTGGGGCTCTCCCTGGCTGTGCTTCCCCAACAGGTCTTGCAGAAACTGTCCATTGTGACCTACAGCCTGTGGATGCCGAGGTGACATACGTCACGAGTCGGGTTCCCGAGGGCTGCGTGGCTCAGGTCCCCAATGCTACCCTTCAAGTCCACATTCTCTTCCTGGAGTCCTCAAGGGTAAGCGCCTGCTGGCAGGGCTGGGTGGGGCCCCAAAGAAAGGCCCGGGGCCAAGGGGATGAGGGGAGCCTTCCTTGTGGCTGTCCCTGGAGCAGTGGGTCACATCCTCACCAGGGCCCCTGCCAGGAGGGACACGTGGGCCTCTCACAGGGTCGGTAAGGGATGACATTTCTGGGGCCAGCATCACAGAGGTCTGCTGGATGCCACAAGACGCAGGTGGGAAGGGGGGGTTGGCCACTGAGTGGAGAAGAACCACGTGAGCAGTGAGACGAACCAGGTGAGCCACCCCCTGTGCACCTGCAACGGTGAGGATCTTGACGCTTCTCGGTGGACTGAGCTCCCCTCCAGGCAGCTTGGGCTTTGAGAAGGGCTTTCCCTCCGTGGAGTCCAAATCCCCCTCCCTGGAATGTCCCTCATTGAACATCTATGACCTGGCCAGGCAGCCCACAGAGATTGGACGGCCAGTGATGCCACCTTGGAGACCAGCGTCCCTCCTGAGACCCCTCCTGAGGTCCAGCGTTAGCTTAAGTCCCTCCTAATGATAATAACACACCGACCGAATGCTTATTACGCGCTAAATTCTGTGCCAGACTCTGTGTGAGGCTTCCTGTGTGCTAGGTACTGTTAGAGACCTACTAAGAGCCAGGACCTGAGTTCAACATCTTATGTGTGTTAAGCCTCCCAAGGGCCCATCTGTCAGAGTCTGTTATTACCCCCACGTTTCAGAGGAGGAAATAGGCCTGGAGAGGCAAAGCAACATGCCCCAGGCCACAGTTCACACTAGATTCTGGGAGCCCCCACGCTAGGCTGTCACCTGGCTCCCAGTTGGGTGTGTGTTCAGTGGGCATCTGGCCTGCCTGGGCGGTAGCCACACCTGGCTGATGTGGCCTCAGGTCCTGAAAGCCATTTAGTGGTGTCAGCTCAGTGAACTTGTGGCCAAGCTGCCCCTGAAACTGTTAAGTTGCCCTGCATTTGTGTGGTGATAAGAGGGTGCCCAGACCACCAATATCGGGGGGGGCCTGCTCCCCACCGCCCTGCCTGCCACTGGGACTGCGGGCCTCGATAATCCCCAAGCCAAGATAGCGCCAAGCACATGATATAGGGTTTTCGTAGCCATTGTAATTTTTTTCAAGTTTGGTGATGATATGGAAAATAAGATTGCCCTCTAGAAGTTCGTTTTGTTTGTTCTGATGATCAGGTCTCTGTACCTCCTCCGGGTGACTGGGCTCCCCCAACCCTAATCTTTCAATGAGGGGCCAGAGTCAGAGAAAAGCCCCCTGCCAAGTGCCCGGGTCTATGGGAAACAGATGTGTAGACAGTCAGCCAGGATCCGGGTGATTGGTTCTTTCTTGGGGAGGGCAGAGCAGGGCAGGGATACTCCAACTGCTGTGGGATTAGGCAGGGCTTCCTGGAGGAAGCAACAACACGAAGGATGGTCAGAAGCTCATGGAGCGAAGGAGGCGTTAGGGAAGAGCAGAGCACAGAGTGAATGCACAGGCAGGTAAGGACCGTGGTTAGGGTCCAAATGTGGTTCGCCGTGGCGGGAGCTTGCTGTCCACCTTTGGGGCAGGGATGGGGGCGGGGGTGAGAAGGCCCTGTCACCATATTAAGGAGTTTGGTCTTTATCCCGTGGGCAGTGACAGTCATCGGAGGGTTTTTAGGGGTACGGTAGAATGCCAGGGTCACTCGTGCCGTCCTAGAGCTCACGGCAACAGAATCTCCTGTCACCCTCTGCCTCTTCCAGAAAACTCAGTCCCTGGGGCGTCTGGCTTTTAATCCGAGAAGCCACGCTGCAAGCCCCAAGACTGCCAGGCATGTGTGTCTGAGGGGGTGGTGGAGACAGCTGGGGCTCAGGAGAGTGGCGCTCCAGCCTTGGATGTCACTGACCAGCACCCCACACGGTGCCTGGCCTGCAGAGGGGGCCCCTTCTCCTCACTCTCCAACACACACACCTATTTCTTACATATTTGTGTCTTTCTTTTTGAGAGAGAGAGAGAGATAGACAGAATCCCAAGCAGGCTCCACGCTGTCAGCGCAGAGCCCGACGTGGGGCTCGAACTCACGAACTGTGAGATCGTGACCTGAGTCAAAACCAAAAGTCAGATGCTTAACTGACTGAACCACCCAGGAGCCCCTCACACATATTTCTTGGGCTCAGGGACTCACCGAAGAATCACAGAGCGTCAGGATCTGGCCCAGGGCCTGACAGATACCAAATAACTGCTGAGTGAACGAATGATTGAATGAATGAATGAATGAATGCACGCACTGCTGTGTGACCTTGATGCAACAGTGAAGCACGCAGGTTCTGGAACCAGTCTTCAGATTGAACTTCGGTTTCACAGCTCAGGGCAGCACAGCCTTGGGCTACCTCTCTAAGGCCTTGGTTTTCCATGGGAAATACGGGGCCCATAACAGCACCTCCGGGGGTGGTGAGAATCCAGTGGGGTGGGGCAGGCAAATATTGAGTGCAGGCCTGCCCAGTAGCACTGCTTGTTGTTATAATGTCTCCTCTCTGGCCTCCGTGTCTCACCTGTAAAAGTCTTGCCGGGTATGCTATGGTTTCCAGAATATCGTCCCATCAGTCAACTAATTTGATCCCCAAAGGTTATTGCTACCAGGTGGCTGAGGTAGGGGCGGTGAATCCCACCAGACCCCATGCTGTGACCCAGAAGGCCCCTTTCTCCCTGGGGAGGCCCCAGGGATTGGGTCCTTGATAGCCCCCCCTCCCCACCACCCGACAACCAGCCATCGACAGGTGTCTGCTCTGTGCCCAGCCAGCGTTGGGCATTGATGGTGCAGAGAGAAAGCAGACGTGACCCCTGCCATCGAGCCAATCCCAAGCCAGGAGAGGCAGAGGTGGGCATCAGCACCCCGGGTGTTGAGTAATGGGATCGGCAACGAGGGGCACGTGGGGCTGTGGAGGGAAAGGGGCATTAGTGAAAGGCTCCTGGCGTCTAGCCAGACAGAGAGGGGGGTGAAGGGCATTGCAGGCAGAGGGCCCCACAGGAGCAAAGGCCTAGAGGCCAGAAACATGAGCTGGCGGGGGGCTGGTGGGGGGGCGGCTATCTCAGCAACCAGCCCGAGCCCTCCCGACCTGTGGCCGCCTTCTTCAAACCCTGGCACGCAGAAACGGCTGTCCCGTCCACCCCTGCGCGGCGTCTGAATCCTCAGACTTCCTGCGGGTGGACAGCCGATGAGCTGAGGGAGCCAAGCGGCTCGGGGAAGAGAGGTCTGCGGCAGACAGACAAGGGGGCCACTGGGCAGGGGCTCTATCTCACCGGGTCCCCGAAGGGCAGGCCGGAGCCTGGATTCCGGGAGGGGGCCCGGGGTCACATCCTGACCCGCGGAGACAGGAAACCGGCCTGGTGTCTCAGCGATTCCCGTCAGACCGACTGCACCGATCTGTCCTCCTAACAAACCCCAGGCAGCCAGGCAGAGCTGGGGCAGCCGCTGATTCACCCTACTTCTGGGCAAACCCATGGCCAAAGACACCCCACCCACCCCCAAGCAGACGGAACCTGCTGGGCCCTTGCACTGACTCATTCCTGACCAGAGGGGCAGGCAAGGCTGCTCAGGCAGGGAGAGAGAGAGAATGAGAGCGGGAGGGGCCCTGGGCTACCATCCTGAGAGGCCGTGAAGGGCCGTGGAGGGCAGTGTCACTCTCAGACTCGGGGGCAATGGGGACCCCTGTTCAGGCCCCACAATTAATGGCTCTTCTCTGGCCCTCTTCCAGTTGTGCTCCTCCGCCGGGATAGGGTAGCTGCAGGTCAAAGGGACGTGGAGCCTGTACCCGTCCCCCGAGTCCGTGCTCTGGGTACCCGGACTCCAGAATTCCCTGTCCTGTGTGTGCTGAGCCCCCTCCTGAGGCTGCATGGGGCTCTTTCCTGTCCCACCCTCCAGCGGGGGCACTGCGTGACTAGTAGAAGCCCCTCCAGACCTAAAGGATGGGCACAGTGGCTGTGTGTAGGGGGTGGCCATGGCAGAGCTTGGGCATTCGGGCTGCGTCGCCCACATCCGTACTCGTGAAGAGAAGGAGGTAAAAAGAAAGGAGGGCGGGCTGGAAGCCAGGGGCTCCCGTTTGTAGTCGTAACCCAGGCCTTACAGATATTAGGGGCAAGTTTGGTGGAAAGGCACAGAATGGGCAGCAGCCAAACAGGCTGAGTGGGGATAGATAGTCTGCTTGCTCACTGTTGTGTCCCCAGTGTCGAGTTCAGGGTCAGACTGGAAGTAAATATTGGATGGATGGATGGGTGGTTGGATGGATGGGTGGGTGGATGGGTGTGTGGATGGATAATGGAAAGAAGGAAGGAAGGAGAAATGTAAATGCACGTGAACATTTGTTGACTGACCATCCCAAGGCGTTCGTGGTGCCACTTGCTGTCCATCTCTGGTTGTTTAGGGGTGTTTGCCAAGCTCCTGGAGGAGAGAGTTGTGCCCCTTCAAGAGCCCAGAAGCCCCAGGCTGGGCCCAGCACTGGCCTCTCAGATTGGCAAATGGAACTGGGGAGGTGGGGAGAACATAGGCTGACCAGGGGCCC